ATATCCTTTCTATCCTCTCATAGTTTCCTCCTTCTCCAAAATCTTAGTCTTCCCTTCCAATGAAACATCCTTCAAAAATTCAAATGGCTATGATCCCAAAATTCAGGTGCTAACTGCTCAAAGGAATCAAAAGCTGCACATCAAACAGTTGAGGGTGGATGCCTGGGCTCACACTTTCCAGTGAAAACACAGGCATAGATGTACCCGGCGCTTGCATCAGCACTAATCATAACAGTCGGAATGTAGAGGCAACCCCAGCATCCATAAGAAGATGGATGGATGACAGAATGTGATGTATACCTGTACCAGGACACAGCTTTAAAAAGACGTGGCACAAGATACATAATCCTGGAGGACATTATGGTAGGTGAAATACACCAAAAAGAGAGTATTGTATTACTCCATGTATGGGAAGTACCTGAAGTAGTTGAACCCAGAAACATAAAACAGAAGCATGGTTACAGGGGACCAGTGTAGCCAATGTGTGAATTTTTATTTAATAAGCACAGAATTTCAGACTAGCATGACAGCATGTTCTGGAAGAGATGGTGGTGATGGTTGCGCAGCTGTGTGTGTGTGTGTGTGTGTGTGTGTGTGTGTGTGTGTGTGTGTGTGTGTGTGTACTTAATGCCACAGGATTACATGAAAACTGCTGGAGTGGTTTTTATTGTAATACTGGGTGGGGCAGGGGAATCAAACCTGGGCTCTTGTGCATGACAGGCAAGCACTAAATCACTGAATTGCTAGCTCCTTAAAGTGATGAATTTTGTATTTTGTATATTTTTCCACAAAAAGCTTTCTACTTGAAAAGCTTTACTGACACCCAGTCCTAGCATGTCTGTTTGTCATGTAACACCTCAAAGTGTGAATCATGCCACTAACCTCAAATCATGCTTCTGTCAGGAACTTTTTCTTAGCCTAAAGCACACATTATCTTGTTTACTTTTCACACCTTGGGTTTGCATAACAGGTGGTCAAATATTAGGCAGAGTCTCGACGTAAACCTTATGTCTGCCAATAGATGTATATAACCTTACTATCAGATGTTCTCTGTGTTTTGACCAGTTGTGACTTTCTGTAATAGTTTCCATCTACTGCTAAAAGAAGCTTGTTTCATGAGGGGTGAGAGCTATATTTATCTAGGTCCCAACTATGTGTGATGGCTGCAGGTCCCCAGTGGCAGGTAGGGCTGGTACCAGGCTGAAACAAAAATCTGGAGGGAGGAACAATCTGTTATAATTGGAGTGTTACATGGTTTGTGAAAATCTGATCCATCCAGTAGAATCTGTTGTTGAAATTAGTGTGAATTTTATCACAAAAACAGAAGTGCCCAGTTTAAATAAAGGGCAAGTGCAGAGAAAACAGACAATAGATGTGCACATAACAGCCAGTCAGGGAAGACCCATTTATTTGCCAAGGGCAGGACTTCTGGTAATTCAGAAATCAGCCAGAAAAACCAGTTCTACCATTTTGGCCTAATTTAAGCAAGCTTTTATTAAAAGTTTAAACACTGACCAGGATGGAATTTTGCCAAGACCTCCATCTGGAAACTTTCCAGCTGTGGGGCTTATATGAACAAAAAACATAGTTATTTTTCAAGAACTACAACTCCCAGAATCCGAGGAAGTTACCTGGTCCTTGGTCAGGTATTATTTTTCAAGAACTGTAGTCCCCAAATCCAGGAAGTTATCTGGTCTTTGGGCAAGTGGGACTTACAGGGTAGCTTCTGGTCTAACACTTCCTTGGGGGGTAGCATAATAATTTGGGTTATTAGACACATATTCACTCCTCTCTGCCTAGTTTGATCCTGTGACTTCTTCATGCAAGGAGGATATTAATAGGTGGGATTCAGTTGGAGACCTGAATGATTTTCTGTCATTAGCTTTTGATCTTTTGTCTCTATGAATGAAGCATGTCCTTAGTAGGATGCTAGTACCCTAGGAATGAGAGACACATGGAACATAGCCAGGCAAGCTGATCCACAGTCCTGGAGCTTGAAGCAGGACTGCCCTAATGGATCTACAAACTGGTAGGTGTGACACTGAAGTATTGGTATATGGTACTGTGTTCTGAGGAAATCATCAGGTAGCATCATTGTAGCATAGTTACTATAGTTTGTATGTAAAATGCCCCCAAAGCCATGCAGTTGAAAACCTAGTCTCTAGCTTGTGGAACTGTTTTGGGGAATTGTGGAACCTTTGGGAGTAAGGGACTAGCTGTAGAAAGTGGATTGAGGGATCTGGTCTTTGTTTTCTGGTCCTCTGAGATGTAAGCAAGAATCTGCCTAATCCTCCTGTGACCATGGAGCTTCTGGTTCCATGCTGTCTTACCCTCATTGGACCATGCTTTAAATAGTGAGCAACAAGAAGCCTCTTCTGTAACTCATTTCTTGTTGGGTATTTGCATACACAGTGTCCTGAAATTGGCTGTCCTGAAATTGGATCTGTAGACCAGTCTGGCCTCAAACTTAGAGACCTACCAGACTCTGCCTCTGGAGTGTTGGGATTAAAGCTATGCACCACCACCTGCCTGCTTAAGCTTTCCTTTAATTCCTTTTCACAAGTTTAAAACTTAGCTGGGTGGGATCTTTTCCTGAGGTTACCAGTCCCTTTATTACATTTCTTAATCTGTTTATCTCCTTGAACACAGAACTTAGTTCCATTTCACTTCCTGGTCCTCTTTTTCTCCACAAATTGTACATTTTGTATTTTCCCTTGCTCAGCTTGCTCCTTTTTATTACAAATATTCATTAGCATTAACACTAACAACCATGTGACAAAGTCTATACTAGGCTGTTTTGAGATTTCCTCTGCCAATGGAATTAATTCAAAACTCTTCACTTTAGTCTCAGGGAGACTTTTTGGACAAGGCAAAAGCAGTCACATTCTTCACCAAAATATCACAAGACTGGTCTCTAGGCCACATACTAATATTCTTCTCCTCTGAAACATCTTATTCCAGGCACCCACAGTTCAAATGACATTCAGCACCACTGTCTCCCATGCTCCTATTAGTATGGCCCATTAAACAGCACTTAAAGTGTTCAATTGCTTTTCTAATTCACAGTCCCAAGGTCTATATTCCTTTAAACAAAAATGTTGGGGGATATTTGATCACATTTGAACCCTGAATTTGCATTTGCATTAGTTAAATAAAATTAACCTCAGATCAGAAGGCTGCATTAGCAACTAGTTGACAGAAAGTAATCATAGCGCATCAGAGGACATTCAGGAGAGATAAAGAGACACAGGAAGTAGTAGGGTGGGGTTTGGAATGGTGCAGGTTTTTCTGGTTTAGTGAAGCAAAAGCAGAGATCTTCCATGGATGTGAGCACTAGCAAATAGAGAGGGTTAGTGTAGATGTAACCGTCTTGTTAATTAAGAAACACAGAGCCAAATGCAGAGTTAATAGCCCAAGAGGTCAGAGCAATAGCTAAGAGCTGAGACTAAAAACCTTAGCCTTCACTACTGCTGCTGTCC